TGGGCAGAAGGAGCTGTCTTTTCCATTAGAAGAGCTCTCCGCTTGGTGAAACGCTCTCTATTTACTCCAAACAGGCCTTGATGGGGGAACTACATGGATCTAATGGCTTTGGAGATGTCCAAAATGGGAACAATTACGGATTCTCGTTCGGTCAGAGCCCGGTCTGGCTCCACGTGCCACTTCAGCTCCACTGACGGTGAAATACAGCCAGGCCCAAATAGCACAGAGGAGGCCAGGTTTTATTGTTGGGGGGGCTTAAGAATGTGGAAGGGACTTCAGTGTGTCATGTATGTCCTTGTGTTGTGTGCCATCAAGTCATTGCTGACTTATGGTGTCCCTAAAGCAATCCTATTGTGGGATTTTCTTGGCAAGGTTTGTTCAGAGGAGATTTGCCGTTGCTTTCTCCTGAGGCTGTGACTGTGTGACTTGCCCAAGATCACCCAGTGGGTTTCATAGCCAAGTTGGGAATCAATTCTGGTCTCCAAAATCGTAGTCCAATACTCAAACCACTATATCACTCTGGCTCTTGAATCCGTTTGTTTCATAGACTCTGAGAATCTTAAGAGTTGGGAAGGACCCCAAAGGGCATGTCGTCCAACCCCATTCTGCCATTCTGGAAGAAACAAGGAAAGCATTGCTAAAAGAGGCCATCCTTCCAACCTCTGTCTGTCCAAACAACAGAGATACACCACCCTCAGAAGAAATCTATTCCACTTTTGAACACCTCTTACAGTTACAAAAAGGAGAGATCTTCCTAATGCCTAAATACCCTAGAGGCACCAGATCCTTCTGATCTTGGAAGCTAAACAGGGTCATCCTTGGTTAAGACTTGGATGGAAGACCACCAACGAATATCAGGTGCTGAAGAAGATATCTCAGAGGAAGGAAATGGCAAAACGACCTCTGAATATTCCTTGCCTAAGAAAACCCTATGAAATTCATGGGATCACCATAGACAAGGAGGTCCAAAGGATGGCGACCAAAATGGTGAAAGATCTGGAAACCACCAAGCCCTATGAGGAGCAATCTGGGTCTGTTTAGTCTGGAGAAGAGAGGGTTATGATGTGATATGATAGCCTTGTTTAAGTATTTGAAGGGGTGTCATATTGAGGATGAAACATTTTTTTTTCTACAGCTCCAGAGAATAACACCCGGAGCAATGGGTTCAAGCTGCAGGAAAAGAGATTCCACCTAAACATTAGGAGGAACTTCATGACAGAAAGAGCTGTTTGACAGTGGAACACACTCCCTCGGAGGTTGGTGGAGTCTTCTTCTTTGGAGGTTTTTAAACAGAGGTTGGGCAGCCATCAGTTCGGGGTGCTTTGATTGTGTTTCCTCCATGGCAGAACAGGGTTGGACTTGGTGGCCCTTGAGGTCTCTTTCAACTCTATGATTCCATGATTCTAAGTCAACAGGTGACTTGAAAACACATACACATACACAATGTTTAGTTGAGAGTCAACATGGTGTAGTGGTCTGAACATTGGACTACAGCTTTGGAGACCAGGGTTCAATTCCCCATTGGGCCATGGAAACCCAGTGGGTGACCTTGGGTGAGCCATACACTCTCAGCCCCAGAAAACCCTGTGATAGGTTCACTTTAGGGTGGCCATACATCATGAAAGACTTGAAGGCACACAATAACATTTAGATGGATCTCTGTTGCTGTAATTTGAATCCTTTTGGTTCATGTTCTTATTTCTGGAGCAGCAGAAAACAAGCTTGCTCCATCTTCTACATGACATCCCTTCAGATATTTAAAGATGGCTATAATGCCACCTCTCAGTCTTCTTTTCTCAAAACTAAACATACCCCAATCCTTGATTTTGTTCCTCAGTGGGCTTGGCTTCTAGAGCTTTGATGATCTCTAGTGCATCAAATTACAGATCATGGTACTGGAAGACTGTGATAATGCAGATCCCTAGATCTGGACAAAGTTGGTTGGGAGGAAAGTCCAAAAAAATAGCTGGGTTCTTGGATGGAGGAATGACGTGGCACCATGACCAGCAATGCACCTTCTCCACTTGCCAACTCACAGGTTGGGACAGGTTTGTAGGTTGGATGGGTAAGATGAACCAAAACAGAGGAGAAAAAGACAGAGAGGGAGTGTCCTTTTGGGCCTGAGAGTTGTAAAATGAAGACCAAACCTTGAAAAGAAGCGAAAGATGGCAGTTTGGAACAGTGGCTGGGGGTGGGTGGGGGAGATGTATTTCCAATCTCTCTTCTTCTGCTGTGCCACCTTAAGCAAAGAAGAAACTCAACGATGCTGGTGAAATGAATGAGCATCCGCATGCAGTGCCCACTGGAGCAGACACAAACAATCTGAAGGTTATTGCTGCTCTTATTATTCATGGGTCTCCACTGGTGTGTGCAGACTGTACAAACAGGGAAGGAAGAGGCATACCTTGGCTGGCCAAAGGAGCTGGCAAAGGGATGTCAAACATTGACAAAAGATGTTCCGATCAGACATAGGAGAAAGAGGTGCCAGGCTGAGGTTGCCACTTGAGTGCCTTAGCATTTGAGAGGTGGTTGGGTAGGAGGAGACAGATGCAACATCTACAGAGCTCCTTGGGAAGCAACTTCTGATCACCTCCATGGCCTTTCAGCCTTATCACCAGTTGGCCTTCTGCAAGGGCTATCCGATCCTCACACATTTCTGGAGTTGCAGTCTGCACTCTCAATACAAGTGGACATTTGATTATTAGAAGAAAGGCATTCTTCTAATAATTCCAGTTCTTCTAATGAGTAAATAATCAATCATTAAAATGGCCAATACCTATTGCGACATGTGAGTCTTCTTCAAAACCAGCCTCCTTTTTGGCTAAATTGATGACAGTTTTGGTGAAACTATTCAGCTGTCTCATGCGATGCTGCTGGGTCAACTGGCAGGATGGGGTCAACTTGCCAATGGGTCATTTGGAGAAGTTGGAAAGGGCTTCAATGGCCAGGTATATCAAGCCACCTGAACTTTAACTACAGCTGTACCCATGGCCTGTCTGCCTGGCAGCAGGCAGGAGTGTGCAAGCATCGTTCCTGCTGGGATGGAGCCAGCTGTTCCTCGAAATGAATCTCAAGTAAATTAGCAAACACCACACAAACCTGTCATTTGAATCATTCCTGATTACTTTAAATGCTAGGCTGTTTCCTCAAAATCTAGTCCCCCAGTGCCCAGGGAGCGCCTTCCCCCATTTCTATCTGCGCCTGCACTCTCTCCCTCCATCTGAGGGCCTTTGCACACATTATGTCTGGGTTTGGCACTGAAACATAGAAGATGGGCTTCTCCGCTGATCCGGTTAAGCCTTTCTTAAGTTCCTCATTTATTGAAAGAGACAAAGAACATTATGTGTTATGACCAATGAGGAGTGGCTCAGGGAACTGGGTACACTTAGTCTGGAGAAGTGAAAGTTAAGGACAGGATAGCTATGTTTAAATATTTGAAGGGATGTCATATTGAAAATGGAGCAAGCCTTGTTTTCTGCTGCGCTAAGATAAGGAACAATGGATCCAAGCTATAGGAAAAGAGATTCCACCTAAACATAAGGAAGAACGTCTTGATTGTAAGAGCTGTTTGACGGTGGAAGATGCTGCCTCAGAGAGTGATGGAGTCTCCTTCTTTGGAGGTTTTCAAACAGATGCTGGATGGCCATCTGTCGAAGGGAGGGCTTTGATGGTGTCTTCCTGCATGGCAGAATGGGGTTGACTGGATGGCCCTTGGGGTCTCTTCCAACTCTATGATTCTATGATTCTCTGACTTTAATATGTGATGCTCTAAAGGACAAAGTAGGTCATCATTCAGCTTCCTTTCTTCAAGGTCTACACAGGATGGTCTGGGTCATACTTGCAGGATGGGACTGCCACCTTCTTCTGGCTTTGACTGGACCTTGTTTGACTGGACCTTCCACTGGCTTTGACCAGACTTTGACTGTCCTCTTCACCTTCCCCACCTGAGATCTCCATCCAGTAGGACATAATTTCACCAGACAAGATCTCCACGGAGGGAAACAATGCTGAGGGTGGAGTGATTTTATGAGGGATAGAGACAGATGCAATATAAAAATGGTGTGGAGTTGTAGTCCAAAACAAAACAAAATTTCCCCCCAATGCTGGAAAATTCAGGCATGATAGGTTTATGAATGGCAACTATCTGTGATAGCCAAGTGGAACTTCCATGAACAGGAATAGTATACCTTTAAGTGAAAGATGCTAGAGACAAACCCTCATGTAGAAGCCCCAAAAGCATCGTGTTGGTCACTGCAGCAACCAGACTGCTGGACCCAAACCAACAAAACATCTTTTAGATTCTTAATTTACTCAGTAGCATTATAAAAATTCCTGGTGCAAAATAAAAACCGCAGCCATGTTGCCACACATCAGTAGAGCCATAATAAAATTCAATTTAGTGGGGTTTTTTTTCTGAATACGCCGTAAGATGACTTATGGGGAGGCTCGGAATTGTGCTTTGTAATAAGAGCAGTCAAAAATACAGAATTTTGTCCTGCAAGGAAGGCGAAAGAAGAATTACGCTTGATTAAAAAATCTGAATTATTGCGGGAATTCTGTAAAGGAAGATAGGGAAGGCAAGGCTGTGGTTATTAATGCAAAGGGGATGGAAGAAGAGAAGCCTGGAGGAGAATGAAGAGGAAGGCAGTTGAATGGGGGAAAGATGAAAGAGGGAGGAAAAGATGGAGAAAAGAGTATATTAAATTATAAGAAAAATATTAGAAGGAATAATGCTTACTAAAAATAATACATATAACATCTGAGCCAGTGTGGTGTAATGGCTTGAACACTATGACTCTGCAGGCTAGAGTTCGAATCCTGGCTCAGCCATTTAAACCCACTGGGTGACTTTTGGCAAGTCACACTCTCTCAGCCTCAGAGAAAAGCAAGGGCAAACCCCCTCTGAAGGAACTTGCTAAGAAAACCTGATAATAGAGTCACTTTAGGGACACCTTAAGTTGGAAACAACTTTGGTTGTTTCACTCACCCAGTGGGTTTTATGGCTGGGCACGGACTCGAACCTTGGTCTCCAGAGTCGTAGTCCGACACTCAAACCACTATGCTACACTGTTTCACCACACCATGCTGAAGTTAGCTTATTTCAATTAATAACAGTTAATTTGCAATCAGTTAATTTAGCAAGGGAAGAAAGGAGAGGAGGCTGCGGAACCTTGATCTTCCCAGGAGGCTCAGGCAAAAGCAAAGTGCTGCAAACTCTCTTCTTCTTTCTCCTTAATAACTTTGGCCATTTTGATCACACTCTGATGTTGCTTGGTGACATGTGTCCCATTTTCCATCTCTGCAATGTTGGAGTGTATGGGATGTGTCCTTTGCTCAGTTTCACCAAGGTCACTCAGAACCCATAGAAAAAGTTCTCTCAAAAGGGCACCTTTCAATAAATGGGGGACTGAAATCGTCTAAGGCTATGTCTGCACTACGGAAATAATGCAGTTTAACACTCCCTTAACTGCCATGGCTCAATGCTATGGAATCCTGGGTGTTGTAGTTTGGTGGGGGCACGAGAGGTCTCTGACAGAGAAGGCTAGATATCTCACAAAACTATGAATCACAGGATGTCATAGCCTTGAGCCATGGCAGTTAAAGCTGTGCCAATATGATGCCTCAGAAGCTGTGCCAATATGATGTCTCCTTCTTTGGAAGTTTTTAAATAGAGTCTGGATGGTCATCTGTCAGGGGTGCTTTGATTGTGTATTTCTGCATGGCAGAATGGGGTTGGATTGGATGGCCCTTGGAGTCTTTCCCGACCCTATGATTCTACGATTTGATGATCCGATGAAACTCTGTTATTTCTTCAGTTGCGGATGCAGCCAAAGTTTCTCACATAGGTCAAGTGAAAACGGGCCATGGTTCGTCCTGGTTTTGATTTCGGACAATTCGGTCTCACAGTGGACCTTCAGGCTGGTTGAGGCTCCTCTCTTCTGGAGAGGAGCCGTAACCTTATGGCAGGACTGGAACTGCCCTGTCGCTCAGAGCCTTCCTCTTCCTCCTCTTCCTCCTCCTGCCTTTCGTTCGGTCGGCGCTGATGGGCAGCAAGCGGGATCAATAAGACACCTCCGACTTTGTCTGTTTACAAACTAGCTGCCTTCAGCAGTCAGCCTGGTTAAGCACTTCATTCCCATTCCAGGCGGCCATCTGCTGCCTTTTGCCGTAAGTCTCCCTGAAAACGCCGGGCCTTGACAAGCGAGAGATACGTCAGCGCAGTTATCAGCCGAACACAACATCTGCCATGCCTGACACCCACCATTGTAGGCCATTTAATCTGTCCCGCTCCTCCCTTTAACGGCAGACAACAGCTCCCTGTATTATATTTTCCCACTCAATTAGCACTATCATCCTGCTGAAATAGAGGCCAATTTACCTTTAATGACATCATTGTTAGGAGAGTGGCAAGCGCCGGGTCCGGAGCTGTCACCGGATGGTAGGGAGGTAGGGGAGCCCTCGTCTCTTCCCGGCTCACCCTGCCGGAGAGCTAGGCAAGGCCCCGGAGCCTATCGGAGGCAGCCTTCAACCCCCGACCACAGACATTGTTTCCGACAGTTCGCAGAGGCAGTGTGGCGGAAAATTGAGTCCAGATTCATTAGGTTTTTCAGTGTGCTGCTCAAGTCAGTTAAATTGATACATTTCCTAACAAAATTGAAGTGCTTTGTGCTGCCAGCGGAAAGCCGGCTGACCCTACTCGGCCCACTGAGCAGCCAAAACGAGTTGATGGATCCATTAGGCGGCTCGGAACGCTTCTCTCTCTTTCTCTCCGCGACCCCCCCTTCGCCATCCTCCCGCCGTTCCGGAGTGACACAGTAAATCTGAGCCAATTTCAGTCCCTAATCATCATTACGCACACACACATATACACCCCTCCACTGTTCATTTATTACTTCTGCCATTCTAATACGGCCCACGGATGGGTCAATGGCCAAGGAAGGGCTGGGGCGAGGCACCCAGGTTGACCAGATGTCCCAACCGCCAAGGTTGACCCAGGTTGACCGGATGTCCCAACTGCAAAGGAGGACCAGGAACTGCAAAATGTCGGACGTGCTAGAAAAACGGAAGACATTACCAGATAAAAGCACTCTTGGGGGTTATTTGGAAGGTGAAAGTAATCCAAGTAGAATCTGGGTTGAATCTTTGGGGTCATTCAGACATACCATGGTTTTCTAGGACATGTCCTGCATTTCAACCTTCTGCCCAGGAAGAATTCCAAAAGGTCCTCCATTTTGAGCATCGCTAAGAAGCATGAATTTATGTTTCTACAGAATCATTCACATGTTGTTGTTTTTTTAGTACAACTATGCCAATAATCTCACTCATGTATTCTGGGTTTGTTATTCACACAATGGAATCAAATCTCTGTGCCAGTCTGTGAATCCAGTTGCTCACACATGTCATTATTCAAACAAACATAGAGTTAATGATGCGAATGTATTCGCAATGCATTCAAGGCATGCAGAGTTTAATCTTGAATTATCCTAGGTCTATTTGCATTGGTTATTCACATTGTCGGCAATGCAAATCTTTTTTTAAAACTCAAGGAAAAAAACCTCTTATTGATTATCCTGGGTCAAGTGGGTGTTTTTGGCAGCTCCCAAAAAAAAACTTAATCGGGTGCATTTGGGATGTATGTGAACAACAGAGATTCAGCTCAGATTCATGTTGGGTTATTTTCACTGTTTGATTAGGGTCTTTGTTGTTCACATGCATTTCAAATGCATCCGATTAAGCTGCCAAAAAACCCCACTTAACCCAGGATAATCGACATTGGTGTTTTTCCTGAGTTTTTCTAAAACATTCACATTCTCAGCTGTGTGAATAACCGATGAGAATAGACCCAGGACAAACCGGGACAAACTCTGCATGCCTTGAACATACATTAAATTCATTCGTATGGCTAACTCCATCTTTATTCAGTGCTGACAAGAATATTTATCAATCTATTCCTTAGGTTTTTCAGGTTATTAAATATAAACAGGGGGTTGGACTGGATGGCCCTTGTGGTCTCTTCCAACTCTATGATTCTATGAAACAAACCAATAATTAATTAAATAAATAAACTATCGATCTGTCTATCTATCCATAATCTATCCATTAAGCTTTTCAGGTTAACCAGCAAGTATAAATGAATATATTAATAATAACATTATCTAGAATTCAAAGATATAGCTGTGTTAGTCTGTGGAATCGGTATGTAGAGAGATTTATTATTATTATTATTATTATTATTATTATTATTATTATTATTATTAAAGTTTATAAATAATATAACCGCTGTTCAAAGAGACAATCAAAGCATAAAATAGAAATAAAAACCTGCCAAAGGTGTACAATCTAAAAATACAAAACAATAGGTAAAATAATAAAAGTTAATTAAAAGCAAGGAACATTTCCAACAATTAAACAACAACATCCATTGTCTGCTCAAAGAACAGAAAGAGTAAATGTAAAGAGTAAAAGAGCACCTTTGTTGCAGTTAGTCTGAAAGGTGCTATAAGATCTCTCTACAATAAAATTATCTGTCTGTCTATCTATCTATCTATTGGGCCATCTCAGGGCCAACTCAGGGTAATGGCAAGGTTTGCTTGGTAAATGCATGTTTTTGTTCTCTTTCTCTTTGTATGTGTGTTCTTGTGCATGTGTGCGATTTCGCACAGGGTGCCCTGCAGGAGGGCTAGCCAGTTCCTAGGGGCTGCAATGCCAAGCTGTTTGGCACTGGTATTGGATCGACAGCTGCCTGGCGTAGACTTCGGGCGGCAAAGTCACCATGGCACAGCCAGGGCATGATGAGCCTACAGAATGGCAAGCATGTGTTGGATATCTGGTACAGCGATTAGAGTTTCATTTTTGCATCTGGTATGCTTGTGTGAGCAATTTCAAACTGGCATTGGGTGGGAACCCTACTTTTCGCTCCCCTTCTCTTGCCCAACACCTTGCAAGCTTGCTTGATCATCAAGAAACAAGGGAAAAAGATTCCAGAAAACCCATCACCTCTGTGCAGAAACATCAGCTTGTTGAGCTTCACTTCCAATAGAGACAAATGGATAGATGTCCCAAGAAGTCAGAAATAATGAGCTCCACTGTTCTCCAAAGGGAAATTTACTTAAAACCTTAAAATCATACACCCTTCGCCAGCAAACCAGGATGGCTTCCAACAGTTAAAACAATATACACAAACTGTTCCAGAGAGAGGGTTAGGAGCTAAGCACCCCACCCTGGTATATAATAGAAAATAATAAGACACAGTAATTTCCCAAGTCAAGGCCAACTTGTGTTTCCCTCTTAACGGAAGATTAAAAGCTTTCCTAAACAAACAAACAAAAAGTTTTTGCTGGGCTCCCTATGGGGAGCCCAGCTGATCAGTTCTTCAGAAAAGGATTTGCACACAACTGGAGCAATGTGTGTTAAGGCCTTGCTTTGTTGCCTTCTCCTGCGATTTTAAAGAGAGTGGCACCTTGCATTGGGTTTCCTCCAAGGATCTCCATGTTGGGGAAACAGTAATGCAGAATAAGATCCAGGGTCCCTGTGATGACAACGAATGTGAAACTCTTCAGCTGCAATAACCCTACCAGATGCTAGTCTGTTTCTATGCACAATTCAGAGGGCTGGTTATGATCTATAAAGCCCTACACAGCTCAGTCCTAGGCTATCTTGACAGACTGCAATCCAACATCCCCTCATTGTAGGGTAGATATTCACACGCAGATAAATGTTATAAGAATAACATTGTGCAACACACGTCAATGACTTGATGTCATTGAACAATGCATAATGCATGATGCAAAACCACAATGCAAAGTATAGGATGCACCACCACAATCCATTGTATAGGATGCACAGCCACAGTCCAAAGAATAGGATACACAATCACAGTGCAAAATATAGGATGCACCAGCATGCTCCAAAGTACAGGATGCACAACCACAGTGCAAAATATAGGATATGCAACTGCAATCCAAAGTGTAGGATGCAAAACCACAATGAAAAGAACAGGACGTACAACCACAACACACAACTTGCAAAGACGGGGCACAGGCAAATGTGCTGTCTGCGCAACTTACCTTCT